ATTTTTAAAACGCCATGCAACAATCCATTAATCCATCTAAACTAATCCATACTACATCGACACATACACTGCACTTTGTTAAGCACGCATCCCATACCCCTCGTTCTAAGTGCGTTGCCACTTCTGCCAGAGTATTATTTTCCTGTGTTTTTAACTGGTCTTCACGGTGGCGAATGACCCACGGCGGGCTTCAAATTGTGACCCTTATATAAATGGCATAAAACTGATACCAAAAGGCAAACATGAACGGAGCCACATCAGCTGCCAGCTAACCAAATACGACAAATGTGCATTGATAGTTATAGGGAGGACAACTTCGATATGGTAGTACCAAAAAATCCACGATGACACATGCAAGTCAAAAGTGAAAGGGCCACGAATAGTGTGCTGGCGTACACGCAGGAAGAGCACAGGGTCTGTAACATATTTTGTCTGTTGAAACACGGTGAGCTGTTTCGAGGTGTTGCGGGGTTATTTACGATATGGTCTAATCAAGCACCAAAAGATCACAACGACCTGAAGACCCTGTTAGCCTTCTTGTTCAAGTCCTGACTGGCACTACTGAGGCACTGGAGGCAAGACTGTAACAGACGTATTTTATGCAGCTGGTTCCAGAATAATTTTTGTGTTAACTTCAACCCGGTGTATGTAATCCGAACAAACATATTTTGATCGATATATCAAGCTAAAAAATCAAAACTATCATCAACTGCCTGTTCCGGATTTCGCTGTGCAGCCTCCGACCATTCTGTTCATGCATTATTGACGTCTTTGTAGTGGTGCAACATAACCGTCATTAACAGCGTATACCAGGCTAAGCTGCGAGAAGTCTGATCATGATTGTGACATGGCTAGTACTAAAATATAGATAATATAGCTGCTTATGAGTCAGTTCATACATCTGTTAAGAGCTCCATTCTTTGCAGACGATTCGGCTCCAATTAAACCATAAAGAACGACTTATAAGATACGCAAAACCCTTTTGTGGGAATTTTGTGGCTTTAAAAAGCCAAAGAAACCCGTCATTTCACTCGAAATACTCGCCTTAAACGCCCTTCAGCCATCTTTTAGCACCGAGGGCGGTTAAGCCAGCAAGCAAGCAACTCTAGCCCATATCGATTAGTTGCCTTCAAAAAGCGGCTCTTCCATGCGATTAAACACAGCATCGCACCTTTGTCGACTTATGTTAAGTGGACCTGCCCTCCAAACAAGAGAGTGAGAACAATAGTCCGACATTTAAACACCGTCATTAACCGTCATTTCACTCGAAATACTCGCTTAAACGCCTTCAGCCATCTTTTAGCAGCGAGGGCGTTCAGGCCGCAAAGCAGCAACTCTAGCCCATATGCGAATTAGTTGCCTTGCAAACGGCTTCTTCCATGCGATACCACAAGCATCGCACCTTTGTCGACTTATGGGTAAGTGACCCTGCCCTCCAAAAAAGAGAGTGAGACAATAGTCCGAATATATAGTCCGAATTACTCCCGTCCCGTGAGACCGATATCAGGTTTCGCATCACTTTCGCTTGTCCACGTCCAACTCATGATCCATTCATGGCTTGCAGTACAACTTAAAATTCACATGCCTATCACAAAAAACGAAGGGGCTATTCTGATTAGCACACTTAATTTTCTATCAGCGTGATGCAAAACCATAACCTATTTTCTACCATCGGAGCAGTTACGTGACTGGCTCTGATCACCTCACTCCGGGCCGTCGCCGCGCAAGCCGGGCCTCAAAATGGCCGTCGCTGCCTCTTCCCTGCGGTCGGTTCGTCTCGCTGCTCTGTGCTTCGCCTCTGCGAAGCGGCCGGACATGCGCCGTACATTGCCAGCGACTGCTGACCTTACGCCTGTAATTCCAGACCCGAACTATCTGAATGGTCCATCGCATGTCTGGACCGATGCAGCTGTCCATGCCGTTACATTATAATTCAGTGGCACCAGCCATTGGATTGCGGGTCGGAAGGGCTTCTGTTTTGACGTAAGCTCACCTCAAAGCAAAATGGTATTTTTTAGTTTGAACAGAAACTGCAAAAGAGTAAGTCATTTACATCTGTACGCACGCCCTGTAAGTCCAGGCACGTTGGTGTTTGCATTAGAACTATTCCAGTCGGCCTTCGGATGGAAGCCAGTTTTCTCTAATTCTTCCCAAATAACTCAGATTTTCTTGCAGGTCACAATTTTTTTTTTCAATTTCGAAAATTTTACATCGGACTCAAAATCAGTCAGCATCAACACATGTTTCTTCAACAAGATCTAATTTGGTTTATCCATCTGTGGTCATCATTTATTTTGTAGTCTTTCTGAAAACTTGCTTTTGAAATAAGCCCCATGAGAACTCATTGCAGCGTATAAGACATACTCAAAACAATCCGATACAGCGGGGTGCCAGAGGCCCAGGTTAGGGCTCACGAATCAAATCCTATCGGCCTAAAGTTCCGCCGACAGAATTGTAATAACAGAGCTCCGAGCTTAGCAGTACAATAAGCTTGTGGGACACATAGGAACCAGCCTTGCGGTAAAATGCACCCGTCAGTTTTCTTCAAACACGATTAGTTCTTGACTGACATGCCGTCCCGTTTTGAACCCCCCCCCCCCCTTCCCCCCGGCAGGTACGGGAGCGGGAGTGTCGAGGACTGATATTCACCGCCAGACGGGAGCCATATCAAATAATTCGAACCCGGATCGCGTTTATGAAAACAACGATGAAGTTTCATCATCGTCCAGCCCGTGTTTATTGCCTGACCGCTCTTTGTGACGTTGCGAAACCGAAGGTTCATACGTCACGCAGCACTACCGTCTGGGCAGCTCACATGCAAGTCGCAACGCTACAAAATACCGTTAACAGCCGATGCATGTGAGGAGGGCTGGGAGGGGGCAAGGTCATGGTGCTTCAAAGACCGCGAAGATTGGACTTTCCCTCGATCTATGCCTGATTTTCTACTTACTGACGTGGTACCTGGCATTACCCGACTCGAGGTTCGATGTCGGATCCACCCGGGTCAACATACGGTGGTATTGGGATCAAGATGAACAAGCACACACCTTCCGAAGCGCGCAAATGCGCCACAGATGGAAATGATACCAACGGCTTCTTTCAGTTGTCAAATATTTAAGGTAACTACGGATGTACGCGCTTGCCAACTTAAAGTTCGAAACCTTTTACTCAATGGAGGGCAACTTGCAACATAACAGCCTCAACATCGTTCAGCCAAACACAGAACACAGCAGATTCGCCAGGAAAGGTCGCAGGTGCAGCGCCTAGTCGCCGTTCACTGCGTGTCGACTGTCGCCGCCGTCGCTGGCGCCACTCAGCCGACGAAGCCGCCAAGTTCGAACGTCCGTTCGCCTCGACCGACACATCGCTTTGTTCCGCACTTGTGGTGCGGCGGGCCGGTAGCGAGGGGGGGGGGGGGGCAGCTGCGGCCGTACGTACCGGACTTCACCGGCCGAGCCAGTACGGGTTGGATCAGTTCACTTGGCGAAACCGGTACACTTCGCGGCAACAGGGAAGCCAGGCGGCAGCGGCAGGTTTTAACCCGTGCCGGATACCAACTAGGGAGCCTAACGCAGGCTATGGCCAGTCCAGTCTCCTCAACTTTTCTTGGAACGATACAGTCTCAAGTATGATGATACATGGAAGAGACCGCTTTAAGACACTCCACGCTTCACCTGTGCCTTTGAAACATGCAAACACCAACCTGGGGCTTTCACTCGTCACAGAGCACCTGGAAGTGCAACTTATCCCCACCACGCTGACTGCTCCATTTTCACACGCCGTTACATCAAAGCCATTGCATATTTTGAGAATTCTGAGCACCCTTGAACAGACTGATGCAACCAACCATTCGTCACATGTGGTTCACGCATCCAGCGAATGCTCATGACGATCCAAGACGCCGTAGATTCTGAAGCCGTAGCTGCCGCACCGCTTCAGCGCTAGCCATGGATTCAAGGGCACCAATCCACAGCTGACAAGGTTTGCCCGACATTGAAACTAGATTCGACTTTCGGGTCTCTAATGCAGTCCTTCACTTCCTGGCACTGACAAAGGTCCGGGGTTACCAGCACAAGGACCGCCCAGGTGCAGCGTGTGCTAGTTCGGCACCTACCACCGCTGATACTGCAACGTCGCTCACCTATGGTAGGACTGATCACCTAGGTACGGATCAGTCGTCTGCAGCCAACTTACCAGCACCTACGCTTTGGCAGCTCGGTTACCTTCGACCGGATTCAAGGTCATTATTCCCCAGTCTACAGCTGAGTTATCATAGTTAAGGGCGTAGAATACAGGTGTTCATATCGGTTGGCGGACAGTTGGGCGACGGTGCGTGTCGTATGATAAAGTTCGATGCTGGTATCGCGCGCAAGTTTGTGAGCTATGATAGGAACCCTCTCATGACGTGAACACCGAAGGCAGTTTCAGAAACCGCCTTCAACACGCATGCCGATGGTTTAGACCAGTTTTATTCCTCCCCGGTATTTTCCCCAGAGCTGGCACACTAAAATGTGGACGGTGGGGCCACCCGCGAAGGCAGGGACGCAGCCAGCACTTTCTAAACGTGCGTGCGAAGGGGACTCGCTGTGCATGCATTCCGCCGATTTTTAACTTTCTGTTAGGGGCCATCCAATACGAAAAAAACGAACAATCTCGAGACTAAGGGAGGACCCGAGCTCCAACCCCTTTCCTTAGCTATGCCCCTGCGGAAAGGTACCTATTCCAATCAGAATAAATAACACGCATGCTCACGAAATACGCCCGATGAGGTACATTCGACTATTAACATCGCATGCAAGGACATATCCAGATAAAGGAGACCTCCCTTAACGAGGATTTTTCCCCTTTGTCACCGTAGATGGCTTTAGACAGAAAGTAACAAATCGACGTGATGCGTCAACAGCGAGCTCCGCCCACACTCAAGCAAGTCTTGGTTGCGCCTCTCGCCCTGCTCACAAGAATCGTTTGCGCTGGAATTAACGAAACCAAGAAATACTTACCTGTGGAAACGTGACCGGACGCTGAACTCGCAACGCAGCTACTGCCGGCAGCGCGGAGATCTGTCTGGTTCGGGTCCATAGGAGCCTAGCCGCCAAGCGAGGGATAGCCATTTCGGAAGGACGGCTTTCTGGTCTCCCAACACTTCGCTATTAAGCTGGATAAGACCACTCTTCTCCAGAAACTCCCAAGTGACAAAACCGAGCCGAAACAGGCCTTTCGATTCCCTCAAACCCAATCCTCACCACTCGCCTCACCGCCACCACCGCGCCACGCCGCTCACAGCACCTCTCGCAGACCGGCAACGGTTGTTATCAAGTCCTGCCGGTAGGTGTCAGGGGCGTGCTGCTCGTGTGGCCGAGGGCCATCGCGGTGGCTTTTCATTGAATATGTTCAACTCCTTGGGACGATCCATTGAGGAAAGAACTCTTGGTTGAAACAACATTGCGTGAGACATTTCACAGAAGCCTGACGAACATAAAAGCTCTCGAAACCAATCGGAACAGCAAAAAGCACGTGGAAGGGGGCGGAGGCACCGACCAATCGCCAGACGGGTATCCAAGGTCGCAGCAGCTCTACCGAAGCCAGTAGACTCGTGGAGTCCGGGTGATGGCTGTCGCCTTGGTAACTGTTGGGACGCCAGCTATCGTACCTAAACAGAGCGGTGGGGTGGGTACCGGTGGGGCCGCGCGTGCGTTGTCTGGCGGCGGCATTATATAGCAAGGGTTAGTGCGGGAGGGTTGTGCATCTGGCGTTAGCTTTGTGAAGCTTGTGTGTGAAACGCGAAGTGTTTGAGGGCTTACATGATGACCAGCTTTGGCCGTCTGCTGGGAGTGACGCTGAGGGCGGCCGCGTCCAGACCTCACCTCACGTGTCGAGGTGCTGGACACCTGCAGAGGACGCTGTGCTACCAGCACTATTGCACCGTTCAGAGAGCGGTAAGTGCTGACATCCTGAATCCGTAGTCGATCCTCGCCAGCGTAGGGGGGCTGCCGGGCAGCCGTGCGAGGAATCGAAGTGCATTTGGCCGAATGTCAGTTTCCAGTAAGCAGCTAGCCGATTGTTTCCAGAATGGTCGAGCTGAATGCTGTTTTCCCGGCATAAAACATGTATGCATATATTTTGTATATCATGCACAGCTCCGTACCCTCAGCTTGTTTGTGCGAATATGCTCGAAGTCGCGCAGCGCATCGGTCCAGCTGTGTTCAAATGCCACTGTGCCGGACACGCTGGATCTTTACCTTTGGTTCCTTGGTTAAAAACAGACTTTCCTGGGCCCAGGGTCCCACAGGTCTTTTTTAAAATCACATATTGCGTTCTGCGTAACGTCCCAAGCGTGGAGGAAAGCTTCACAAGATGGAATCTCGCTTCCCGCAAGACTCCATCTGCGCCGCTGCGGGCTTCGTCGGTGATGCGAATGCGGTAGGAAGGGCTTTCTGCACAACTCCGACCAAATCAACACGGTGTTAGGCGAATGGCATGGTGTGGGTAGACAATAAACTGATAGTGTACATTTATTAGTCCTCGCAACGGCATGAGTGTAATACTGTGCGTCTATGTTCAAGGTTTTGGGTGGGAAATGACACCTTTTAGTGTGATATCAATAACGGAGTAGTCTCCATGGCCGTTTTTTTTTTTGCCACGGACGCTGCACTTGCTCGCTGGCTGAGGCACGGCAGCTCCGTTTTGGGACCCTCGTGAAGGCCCCCGCCTGCTGCGGTGGAAGGTAATGGGGTGCAGTCTTCCGCAGGCTTCGGCTTGCAAATAATTATTTGTCCCGCGTCGCTGCAGTCTGGATGCACAGCTGCATCTGCTTCCAGTCCCAGGGCTCAGCTTGAGACTGAGAAAACTTGAAGCATACCGACAACATAGACCACATACAGTCTGCACCCAACATACAACGTGGACCCAATCTGTCTGTTAAGGCGGTGCTGAGAACACAACACGACTGAGATCGCACGGTTGCATGCGCTCTCGTCTGGGGTATAACGTCTCCCTCAGCGTGATCGTATTACGGGTGCTGATTAGTATACTCCGCACGACAGGCTATTGCGACTCTCCAGTTGCAAAGCCCGGCCGCAAGTCTTAGCTGTCTGACGGCCGGCCGGCAACACGATACCGTTTGTCAGCTTCTGACTGGTGTACCACTGGGCGTTTGGTGATTAGATTTTAAGCAGATGAGCAAAACATCTCTCTATATATTTTTACAATTTCAAGATCCTTTCCGTGAATCTCCAGTTCTTTATGGAGATTTCGGCTGCATTATGTATGAAGGAGTCCGATCTGGTACGTTACAGAATAGGTGTCCGCAATCGACTTGTGGCATCTGATTATTTACCGCACAGAGTGGTGTCGACTGTGTCAAATGCAATGGCCTCAGGTTCAGTTTGCCAATTGCCAAGCTAGTACAATTACGCTGAGTAAATATCGCAATGATGCTCAACTTTTCATGACCCGTCGTTACAACATAAATACGCTTGCTGTCCATACCGCTCCTCCATGTCTCGTCATGATTCGTTGTCATGATTTATTTGGTAAAGTCTATTCGTGGCGAAGTATTCTCGGTATTTTTCCTATTTTTCTGCGTCGTCACTTTAATACACGACCATGAAAGTGGATGATTTAAATGCAAAGAAATGACCGTCATTGAGGGCTTTTCGTGTTATGATGGCGATCTGTGGTTTCATGCATCTTTGGCCGCCTCAACCGATGTTTGATGCGGCTTGCAATCGCTTCCCAGCGGCGTTTGTCGCGCATTTTCGCTATGTTAGGTTTTGGAAATAATGGGCGGGCGGAAGCGCATAACGTTTGACCTGTATGACCTGATGTGACCTGTAACGCGTCACATGCACCGATGAGTTGGTAGCTACCTGATTCACTGTACAGCACCGTCTTCCCCTCCGTTGTTACACACGCAGATATGAAAAAAGAGTGAAGGCCAATTTCACTCAGTTTGCCCCAGTGACCTGTTTTCACCCGTCATAGGTCATTTATGTCGACGCTTAAGAATCGCGATCGGCTGTAACTATACACGAGCCATCCCAGGCCACCCTCTACTTTGTCGCAGCAAGTTTGGTTTTGAAAATAGACAAGGGGCTTTGGGGTCACTTCCGGTGGCACGCCAGTGGGAAAAACGGCTGCCCCCCCCCCCCTCCCCCGCCTCTTCCAGCATGGGTTGAGGCGATTCTGTAACTGATTCTGCGCGTCAGGCGTCGATAGCTGGCATCTCGAGCCAACCAGCCGTTTAGCGGATCTGTGCTGGAGCAAGTGAACTGGCTCCGCGCGGCGCAGCACGGCCAGCCGTGTTGCATCAGAAACGGCGCCGCGAAAGTGACGGCGGGCGACAAATTCAAGGCTCGCGCACCGTGTCGCGGCGTCGAGCAGGCTGCTGGAGCGGCCGTTTGCGTCAGGCGGGCACGGGTGCTCCGGGGCCGGGTCGGAGCAGCTGTGCTGCCCCGCCAGGCGGCTGTGGCGGCCAGAGGGGATCCGAACCGGGCGGCCTCTCCGGCATCGGCCGGTCATCGCTCCGTCGAACTGCCGGCCGACGGCCGACGGAAAAACACGGCATCGAGTCCGACGGTTCCGCGGACGAGGCGTTCAAAGGGATCCGCGTATTGCCGACTGGCTTGTTCCTGCTTGGCGTTGGGTGTTGGTGGCTTCCACGGAATCCGGTCGAATGTTTCACGCGAACTGTGTGAGTGTTGGTACAGGTTGCGGGAAGGTGGGCTGCCCTTGTAGCCAGCACGAGGACACTCAGGAAACTGTGAATAACCGGAGGCCGGTATGCAAGATAAGAGAACCGCGGCTGAGAGAACCGAACCACCGCTAAAACAGGATTATTCGTTTTGTGCAATCGTAAAACATTCGTAAAACACTGTGATAGGCAGCGCTTCTGCAAGGTGTCGTGTAAAGTAAATTTGATTCACTGGTCGTTTACCGTTGCAAGTGATCTTAGCTCTCAGGAAAAGCTGCTCTTATAGAGGGCCTTTTGCCCCATAATAATGGCCTCTAGATGTGACTGTGGACGTCAGCCGCCTGTGCTCCGAGACTCTCTTCTCTTCTCTAGACTCTCTTCTCTTCTCTCATGGTGGAAGAGATTCTCTTCGAGAATCTCTTCCACCATGGCCGTGTTGCGTGGTGGGAGGTGGTTGATGTGCTCCTTCCGAGATGTGCCCTTGCTAGTGGCATCAGACGGTCAGCTGGGGATTCACGGCGGGCACGATGTCCTCTGGGGCGCCGAGAAAAGCCCTTGCGGGATGGTTGGGACTGAATATGGTGCGTCGGGCACCGTTCTGATCGGCAGGAGGTATCCTACTGGGGGTTGGGGACGGGGCGCATCGGTGGTGGGGCGAGTGTTGCTGAGGGATTTAGACGGGTTACGTGACATTGTTTGGGTTCTGGCTATCCGTTACTTTGCGTCAGCGTTGGCAGTCAGGCGTCGCAACGGCGCCGAACCAACACCGTTTGAAAGAAAAGAATGTGGACGACAATATTGATGGAGGAAGTCAGGCTCTGTGTGTGCAGCCGGCCACGTGCTCTCGAGCATGAACTCGATCGACCCGTTTGGGAGCGTTCTGAGGACTTATGTCCGATCTCAGTAGATGCGGCAGTTGATGGTCTGACACGAACTGGATGATTTGGAGGTGAATGTGCCGTCTACAAGTGACTAAGCAGTCCAACGCTGTTCTGCAATGAATGACACCAGTAGAAGTTATCGGACAATGAAACCTCTTCTAATCCGATCATGAACGTCATTTGCCGTGACATGGACTGAGGGATTTGACCGTTAAAGACACTCAGGCGTGCAGCCTACTTCGGTGCGACAAATTTCCGCCGAGAAGATAAACCACCCAGAAGATATGCGTTTTCGCAATACCTAATCTTAGTCATAGATGACGTAAGTCATTAAAAATTCGTCAGTTTGAAAGGCTACAACAGCCACGACTTGCCGGGTCCGTACCCATCTAATTTCCAGCCGTGCGATTGGCGAATCGCGAGTTAAGGCGGTGGTGAACGGCTATGGAGCTCTCAGGGAGTGTTGCTAGGAGCTCTCACGAAAGACGGATATTTTAGTGACTGTTGACCCACTTGTTTGGATTCCGAGGGTGTCTGGCTCCTCTCAGCGAGGTTTTAGCACCGTCACACGATGATACATTATTTTTATGACCGCCCGCTGCGTACCGAATAGGCGGCTTACGGGTGTGTGATGTGCTGTGATAATGCCGCTGTGATACCTGTCATTTTTGACAATGTATATGGGCATATGGAGTGTCTCTTGTATGTCATGCTCTCACTG